CTGACAAGATTGTTGTGGGAACCTTGTATTTTATCGCAAGATTGTTGCAATCCTCAGACTTGACAAGGCAACTCTTCAAATGCTCCCAATTCTCAGTGTTGTTAAGCTGGAATGTCGGAAAGTGGAACATAGTCAAATACCATAATTCTCTTGCAGCAGTAACTTTACTTATACTATATTATCACCAGGCTAATTCGTTTCAACTACTAAAGATCGCATAAATGGCATATGCTTACTTGATTCAGGAACCAGGAACTGTAATCATGAAGTTGATACTCTTTATACCTATACAGAAAAAGAATTACCGTCTTAAGTCGAAGTGAAATTACGAAAAAGATTATTGATAAATTATTGTGTTTTTAAAAAAAGAAAGTTCCACTATAAATCCTCCTGTAAGTCTGTAACAATAGCCATCACATCATTAAGAGAAAAGTGAATGCCAAGATGATTAAAGTTTAAAACTATAGTTATGAGCTGTCTTACCTCAGACCAGTCACATTATGACCCGAGCCATTATTTGTTACAATAAACCTACAAAATACGGCATCGAGATGCACACATGTCAACAGGCATAACAAACACCAAACTCCAAATATTTGAATAAGTGCCGATTGAAAAATTTATTAAAATTCTAGAGTTACAATGTGTTTTGATTAATGACAGAAAAGAGTCAGTACCATTGTAGGAAATGTATCAATCACAGAGTACTAACTTAGCAAGTGTCATGAAGTAACCTCATTTTCTTTATCCTTCTTTTTTTCCCTTTTTGGTTTAAATAACATGAATAATCACACACACACTAACACCACCGGCAAGAATAATTGTTAATATAAGGAAAACCTCAATCATATGAGAAAAGAATTGTGGAAGATACTTCCGAAAGATCGATTTTCTGATATAAGAATGTGAAAATACTAAATACCAGATTCAATCATTTTCAAAGTGAATGTACTTACGCCAAAACTGTGAAGACCAAAATTGCCACCAGTATGAGGCAAAGCAAGATAAGATACTGCAGTTACGAGCTAAGGAATATCAGAACAGAAGTGCACATAATAGAGAAATTGGGGAAAAAAATCAACAACCCCTCATTACAAACACACACACACACANTGTTCGCAAACAATGATACCATCCATAACAAGATTGAGTTGTTCTTCAACGCGCCAAGAAACCCAATGACCGATCTGAGAAAATGAATAAAAAAAATGGTTTTCAACAAATAAGGTAAAATTTTGGGTTTCTATCAAAAACAGGAGAAAATATGTAAAGATTCACAGAATAACAGAAGCTTACACCACAAATATTACAGTGCCGAGGCCTATAACTGGCAGCGTGAGTGATTTCCTACAGTTATCTTGATGACTGCCCATCCACACTCCGAAACCTATGACTCCAACAGCTAATAACTACCAAGAAATCGAAAGGGGGGTCAAGCTCCTGAAAAATTCACTTGCAATTTGAGCAGAAAATAAAAAACTAACAGAAAAGTTTCATTCTTTGAGGTCATACGTACACACAGTTCTGAGTTAAGGTCAACAACTTAAACTTGAACCCATTTCAACATTGTGGACAAGAATTTTACAATAAAAGCTAACAATTAGCTCTACATTTATAAACATATTCATACTGTACAAAGTATATGTACTGAAAATCCCTTAAACTAAACCAAAACTAAACTAGCAGCAATTACAACACAGTTAGGTCAAAAATACCAAGAACCCAAAAAACACAATATCCAGATAAAAAAGAAAAGAGAGCAAATCAGAGACATATTCAAAGAAGCAAGAAACTGAAATTCGAGCAAAAGGGTTTCATACTATTGTAAGAAAATTGATCCATCGGATTATGAAAGTGCTTGTTCCTCCCTCTGAGCTCATTGATTTTCTCCCTATAAATCCTTTTTCACCTTCTGTCAAACACACACACTGTGAGCTACTGGGACGAGTGTTGGAATTGCTAAACGGTGATAAAGATCAAATCTTTCTGCTTTTTATTCAAGCAAATTGCTGTGAGCTAGAAAGGGATGGGAACAAAAAGTGGTTTATGGAACTTTTTTTTGGGTAATTTGAGCTCTGGGTGAAGGGTAAAATGGGAAGGGAAAGAAGAAAAACCTGTCCGCATGAATAAAAAGGGAAGTCCTTTGTAATAAATAATAATTCATTCGAATTTGAAAATCTCGCACTTTAATGGGAGTTCAAATCAAACGTTTGACTCTTGTCTATTGGTAACTACAGACAGTCACCATTAGTCCAGTGTAATCATAGCACTATATTTCGGTCAACTTATAGAGCACTTATCTGATTTCCACTCTCTTTTTACTTTTGATTGGGCAACAATAAGTATCACATAAATATGAATTTCTCATATGTGATGTAACTTAATTAGTGTTGAAAATTTTCAAGAAATGTTGAGAGTGATCAACCACTTGGATTGATCATTTTCATATGTACCAAAAACGCGTTTGTTTTTCTTCATTTTTTTAATACCATCAACTGGTTATTTTATATCCAATGTTTAACTGATTATGTTATACCCAACTAGTCACCTGATCTGGGTGACGAAAGATTTTGGATTTTTACCGTTGAATTAACAAATACCTGACAATAAGCCAATGACTACAGTCTACAATAGGTTGAAATCAACCCCAGGTAATCATTAATGTTGAGCAAAATTTTTTAAAAACAAATGCTACTATTAGGTTGTGTAACTATTATGATATTTGAGTGTTAATTATGAATATATATTGAATGAATATTGTTAATTAAGAAGAAAAAAGGAGGAAAAGAATCGTCAGAAGTTAAGAATACAATTTAAAGGCACAAACATTCCTCCAGCACATTATAATGCTTGTAAATTTGTAATTAAACAAATTTGAGGTACTTAAAGCAAATACCAAACCAAAGAAGAAAAAAGAACCACGAGAAAACATATTAGTCAGCAAGAAAACAAGGGTCCCTTATGTAACAACTGAATCAACACTCCAAGGTCCTATCTGCCTAGTAATTTACTACTTACTACAATCTCAAATAATACAAGAAAAATGTCTAAAAATGCTGAGAATCAACAACAGCCTCAGGCAGATTCTGAGAGAACTTTTAACTGTTTAACAACCCCGACGAGTAACACCATCTCAAACAAAAACAACAACAAAGTTCAAAGAGGATTAGGAAAAGAAAAAAAAAAAAGTTAAAATAGAACTACATTGGACAAGACTGCAAAAGAAAAGGAGAAAATAGAACACCACGTCATTTAGTTTGTGATTTTGTGCTTTGGAATAAAAATACAGCACTTTGTGTTTTTCCAATCACCCGTCATTTGACTCTTGCTTCCTGAGGTACAACTGCAGCTTCAGCTCGATTAATTTTATGTGAGAAATGGAAAGCTCCTGAAGATAATTAAGAATGAACTGTTACTACATACATATTTATCCGTGGTATGGTGCACCGAGTGAATACAGAAACGCCTGTTTTTCCCATTGATTAGCAACGAAAATCATAAACCAGCTAGAAAGGGTCAGTGTACTTTCACATTGCTATATAAATAGAACTCGAGCGTCGAGTGAACCCAAGGTGACTATGGCTTCCACTTGTTGTAATACCATGACATACTAAGAGCACAAATGTCCAAAACACACACACACACACACACACACTCACCAGTATCAGATTTTGTCAGGTGTCACATACAGTAAATAGCTTGATCTATATGAGGCGGGATCTGTTTTATCTCTGTGCCAAGCTCCTGCTCAATCCTGTACCTGTGAAATAGAATGGAAATAAAAGGAAAAGAAAAAGGAAAGGAAACAATAATTTAGTTACTATGTTTAAATATAACAGCAACTTAGACAGAGAGGACCGAACTTTAGCTAAAGCAAAGGAATAAGAGACATACAAGTTGAAGCGATCTTCATATGTAATCAAATTCACAGCCAACCCAAGATGACCAAACCTTCCCGAGCGACCCACCTATACATGTAGATTCGTAAGCATTAACTCGCGGGAAATCGAAAAGTTTATCAGATCAGCAAGATAAGTTCTTGTTCATCTTTTTTTCTTTTAACTATATTAATGTGTCCACATACCCTGTGGAGATAGGTTTCTGAGTTCTTGGGGAAATCAAAGTTTATGACGACATTGACAGCTTGGATGTCAATTCCCCTTGTGAATAAATCTGCACATCACATTATTACAAAGGATATGCCATAATCTAATTAGTTATACTATAACATCTAGTGTCAAAGATTAAAGGGGATGCTTGGATATAAGATTATTGATATGTTTGGATTTTTTGGTTCTGTTTGGTTAATTTTGAAAATTATGGTGTGGTTAGTTATCAGTGGGATTTTGAGTTTATATTAAAATAATATTTAAAATGAAATAATTAAAGTTGATTTGATGTAAAAGTAGGAGAGATGATGTGAATTGATGATTAGTTAAAATTATGTGAGTGGTGAATTAATGAATTAAAGTTGATGTAATGTGTAAGAATGATTGAGTGATATTATTTAATTATATTGATAATATTGAGGATAGTGGGAGTGAGTTAAAGTTGAGTTAGATTTGAGTTAAAAAAAGTGATTGGTTAAAAATAATTGGATTTTTTTTTTTTTTTTTTGGAAAATCCATATCCAAGCATGCTCTAAAGGATTAAACTTAGAAGTTAGAAGTTGAACTTCATTGTTCCATGTGGAAAGTGATGTCATGAATCAGCTTTTAGGGGCTTCAATTGAATAAATTGTCTATTTCACTTTGGAATGGAGTTCACTACTAAAATTTGCTGAGCTTACCAGTACAAACAAGATTCCGGCAAGCACCATTCCTGAAGTCGTGAAATACTCTATTACGATGATCTTGCAGCATTTTGGCATGAATATAGAAACAAGAATAACCTAGCTCCGTGATTTTCTTGGCAAGCAGCTCGACTCGGTTCACGGAATTGCAAAAGATTATCGACTGGTTAATTTGCAACTGCAACCAAGAATCGATTGTAATATTTCCACCAAAGGAAAAGGAAAATAATATGAGAATTAGTAAGGCAAACCTTTGAGAAGAGCGTATTGAGGCAGTGAACTTTCTGTCTTTCTTCAACAAAAGCATAATACTGGGTTATACCTTTGAGTGTGAGCTCATCCATAAGATTGATGATGTAAGGCTTCCGCAGATATTTATCTTTAAAATCTTTCACTGTTACTGGGAATGTAGCTGAATACATCAATATTTGCCGATTTGGGGGAAGAAAGGCGATCAACTGCTCTATAGAAGGTTGAAATTCTGGGGATAACAGCTTATCAGCCTGATACAAAGACCGGACAAAATTAGAAGTCACCAGATTTCCTTTGTCATGAACAATTAAAATGATGATATGTTTCAAGTTACAAAATCGAAAAAATGAACTGAACCCATATGTACAATGTTTTTATGCAGACTTTCACAAAAGTAACTCCCTAGGTTAAAAGCTTATAAGGACCTATATGAATTGGGACATATATCCATCTAATCCAGCAAAGAACTAGATCACCACCATATAATGATTCTTATTTGAAAAACTGTGGAGAAAAAATGGTACATTGTGAATCACCATACCTCATCCATAACAAGCACTGAACAATCCTTCAAAACGCATATCCCTTTTTTGGTGAGATCGAGTATTCTTCCAGGAGTTCCAACCAATAAATGCACAGGTTGATACAATCTCATTATATCATCCTTCAGACTGGTTCCTCCGGTGCTAACCATCACCTGAATTTTCAAGTGTTTTCCTAGTTCCTTACATACTTGGGATGTCTGAAGTGCTAGTTCTCTTGTTGGAACTAAGATAACAACTGCATTTGTCATAAGCGCGCATATTTAGTAGTAGAACATGAAATGCACCAGAGAAATAATATGATAATGAGAAAAATGCAGATCTTGACAGAAATTCTCTAGTAAAAAGAAAAAAAAAAACTTAAAATTCAGCGACTATTTATTTGAAGGATGACGTGAAATAAAGAAAGGTAAACTTATAATATAAAATATCTGATTAAAAAAAAATGACCAACTATGGTGAAAAGATGATAGTGGTCATCTTAAATGCACAATAAAAATTCTCAAGCAACTAATGAAGAGTTTATGGTATGCTTCAATCCTAATCAATCTCCTTTCACTTTGCAAAATGGTTGAACCAACTATACCATTGAGATTACAGACTGTAGTTCTTTCTCGTGTAAGTGTGTGCATGTGTGAAGAATATAATATTGTTGAATCAATAATGGAAAGTGACATTTACTCTTCATTTACGCAAACAATGGACAAGAAATGGATCAACTGAATGCAAAGTCATGCACTGATAGATGAATATTTACCTTGAATGACATTTTTATCTGAATCAATCTTTTCAAGAGCAGGAATGCAAAATGCAGCAGTCTTTCCGGTGCCATTTTTAGCTCTCGCAAGAATATCACTACCGGTGAGAGCAATAGGAATACTTTCTTCTTGGATAGGAGAAGGCCTTTCAAATCCTTTTTCATATATTCCCATGAGTAGGTCACGTTTCAGAAAGTAATCTTCAAATTCATTTCCTTTTGTTGCAGTAACATCCTGCATGGGGAAAAAAAAGAGAGAGACATATCTAGCATTGAGAAATATATATGAGAATTCAGTTCATAAGAATATTTGGATCAGAGATAATAGCGCCCACCCCAGAAACCCCAACAAAAGAAAGAGAGAGAGAGAGAGAGAGAGAGAGATAGAAAATGTAAATAAAAAGAAATGTAAAGGCAGAAAATGAAACATATACCATTCAAGAAAGAAAAATATCACTCCTACTTCTCATCTTCCACAAGTGTTCCATATTCAGGCATCATAAAAAAAAACAAGATGTACAAATGTGTGCATAGTCAAGTGTCATATATGCACATGTGTTGTCTATCTGAATGTTTATGATGTGTGGTNCAGTAGATAGGAGAATGGTGCAACAGTTAGTCTTAAAACAAATGAGGCAAAGCAGAATATTTGGAACTCAGAGCAAAGAAAGGTAGCTCAAAATTCAATCATCAGTTAAAACCACAATGTCATAAGACAAATTTCACTGGGTACCATTGGTCATATGCATGACACCAAGTACCATCAGCAAGTAGTTAGGAAACCAATGGTCATCGCTTGTTGAACGAAACAAAAGAGAAGTTTCATAAAAAGTATATAGTTTTGTGTCATGATCATGTGCAAGCGTAAGAGTGAGAAATTATCTAGTGGGTGAAGCATCACTAAGATGGTTAGTAGAACTGAAAAACTACATCGTAGAGGCTATTACTAGGAGCAGGCGACCTAGTCAAAAGGAGAACGAGGAAAGGAAAACAAATTATTATTTCATAAACACATTATATTGTCAATCAACTTAAATCAGTCAAAACTATCACTCCAAACTAGACCCATTTCGTTTATTATCATCAATTTCAAACAAACTCCACAATCAAGTTTTTCATTAATTTGGTTAAGAATCAAAGCAAGTTTAACTTTTTAATACACTTGCCCTGCTAGACTTACAAACTATGATAATTCCAGTGGCCCAGATCAAGACAAAATTGGAGCCCAAAGAGGGATTTTCTCACAACCATCAACCATTCCATGATACAGTAATTTGAATTAACTTAGTAAATAGCATGCAAACCTCCAATGTAAAAATTCAAATCTAATACGAAGAGAACAACTCAAACTTACACAATTTAAATTCTGAAAACTAACTGTAGTTAGAGCAAATATTTGCATCTTACCTCAGTCTTATACCGCGTGTCGGGAGGTGGAATTGCTAAACGAGCCTTCCAATCTTTAGAGCTGATAATCCCACGAAGCCAACAAAAAACAAACAAACGCAATTAGTCAATTTCACATAGAAACCACAAATACAAATGATAATACATATATATACACATACACATCACTCACACACAGTATTGATCAAAATCTGAAGTTACAAGTAAGTTTCTAGCCAACAAATGATATCCTGAAATAAATGTGCTCAAGTTTCTAGATATTACATTACCCGTATAAAAAACAGAACAACCAAAAATCAATTATTTTCAATGGCAAACCAACATGATATCAGAGACCAATGAAAATATAAGTTAATCAATAAAAAGTTCATGTCAAGAAAACATACGTAGAACCAGCGGCATCGGGCTGCACGGTTTTTTCAACTTCGTTCGAAGAGTCCGAAACAACGGCGGCGTTAGGGTTTCGCCTCATCCACTGCTGCGGTTGATTCTGTGCGGTTCTCTGCTGGTACGGTGGCTGCGGTTGCGGGTAATGCGGGTTCCGGCTCTGGTAATTCTGATTCGTGTTCCCAACTCCAACCCCATCTCCGCTACCGCCGCCGCGACCGTTGCCGATCCCCGGTGGATACCGCCCTCGATTGTAATTGTTACTCATCACAGAAGCAAAATCTTTTAGAAAAACTGAGGGAATCTAGACCGGAAATATTTGAATTTCACGAAAAATGTGAATTGAGATGAATATCACTCTGTAATTTTTGTGACTTCTTGGTCCTTTTTTTTCTTCTGAGAATGGCTGTGTGCGTGTGAAGAGCGACCGAGTGAGAAGCATGTACGAGTGTGTCTGTGAGTAATAGTTTAATAAATAAGTAGGCTAGGTTCGTTTATGCTCGGTTTGACGTGTTAATAATATTTTGGAGTAAAATATGAAATATGGACTTCTCTTGGTAAAAAGTAACATGCACATTCTCGAGTAAATCTAAAAAATGTATAGATATTCTTTGTTGTTTACTTGTTTATCTTCACGATATCACATAGTTGTTCAACAAATCAAAGATCAAATAAAATGGTAGCAACTCGAACAACTTTATATTAAGAAGTCGATTCAATTGTTAAGAGCTCTAACAACTTGTTTATCTTGATACAATATCACACAGTTGTTCGATAAATCAAAGATCAAATAGATTGATAGCAACTCGAACGACTTATATTAAGAGGTCGATGCAACGGTTAGTCACACCTAGAGTTGTCTTCATAAGGTTAATTCATGAGGTCAAGATATATGTGTTACGATCTAGGTGTCTATTTCGAGCACGATCTAATGTCTAATTGATTAGATAATGCAAAAAAAAAAAAATAAGTATTACCTAAAAATACATTATACATTGGGCGTCAAAGTTTATTTGTCGTGAATACCACCTTACATTTTGCAGGTTATCAGGAGCCAAGAACCTAACTAACTTGGGTGGATCACGTCATATATATTAATTTGTTTTTAATATGATCTTACACATATGTCACATCAAATATCTATACGTAGTTTTTCAGCCCAACCTGAGAATCGATTCGAACAGGTCTCTGTCAATGATTCAACCATAAAATCATATTGAACGTAGTATAGGGGTAGTGACCTAGAGTTGTCTTCAGAAGGGTAATTCATGAGGTCAAGATATCTGTTTTACGATTTAAGTTTCTATTTCAAACACACGACCTGTTGTCTTATCAATTAGGTAATGCAAAAAAAAAGATATTTCAGTATTATCTCTAAAAGTACACTCGAGTTTGAACGTCAAAGTTTCTATGCCACGTTACGTTTTGCAGGTTATCAGTAGCCAGAGAAGAACCCAACTAACTTGGTGTGGAACCACTTCATATATATTCATTTGTTTTCAATTTGATCTTACACATACATCACATCAACTATTTATAGTAAAAGAGAGAGACTAGTAACAAGAAACATATAAACATGCACAAAATGACATAAATAAAGCAGTGATAAGATAAGAAAAATATTCAAAATTGATATAAATTAACAAGTTTGGCCATAAAACACCACACCCAACATGTAAAAAACTGTAACAAAAACAAGCATAAACAAGTGAACAAAAATAAAACCAAACCAGAAAAAAAAAAAAAAGTCCATACTTTTTATTTTTAATTACTTATACACTTATTATTTTTAATTTGAAGGTTCATCCTCTGTGGCACTAGTGTTTTGATCACCATCAATATTAGTATCCGTGTTATTTTGATCGGCCGTATTTTTCTTGAGAGATGCAGTTTTTGTGAGGTGTGTATAGCTTCCTTTTTCCTTGAAAAGTTGGGCAAAATGTGGCTTGCAATAGAGGACTCCATCCAAAGCCGCGTAAGATGAGGTCGTTAGGAAGCATCCTCCGTGAGCGCACCTAAAGCACGACTTGTGGTAGAATTCTCCCTCCATTGTCACCTATGGTTTTTTAAATTTTAGAAAAAAAATAAAAAAAATAAAAAATTGAATTAGCAATCATCGTTATTTTGATGTAGATGTCAATATACGAAAAAGCTTTTGAATTTGAAATTTAGGTCGTCTAACACAAACGGGTATTTCGTGATCACGATCCATTTAGACTGTCTCGGTTAGTACTTGAGGCATCGAGCTAATTCATGGGAAATAATAAGCTAAAAAATGTTGAGTAGTTTAAGAGTTGGCATACAATAGCCTAAATCAAAACATAATCAATCAAGAAAATATTGAAATAGACTTGGGTAGAAGTATATAGCTAATTCAATACTCATATGAAATACGAAGAATTCGATCCTAGTAGTTTACCGTTGGATTACACGAAAATACACATGAGTGTGTGTTAATCCAACGAAAAAAATAAATTACAATTTTTTCATGTAATACCAACCTTTTCTAGTGGATAAACTGTCTTTGTACAGACAGCACATTTGTCTTGGGTGCCAGAGAAAAATGAGGAGACTCTGCTTGGTGCCCTGTTCTGCATATTTACATAATTTTAAACAAATCCCAAATCAATTGTTTTTTTCTTTGAAATAAAAAATATTTTTGTAAGGTGACATAGGATATAATTGAAATTGAAATTTAGATTATATTATTATAAGCCTGTGTACCAGTTCTCCTTGCTTCAAAGCTGAAAAAGGACAAAAAGAAAAAAAAATGAAACAAAGTTATGCATACATTATTAAAATTGTGATGAGAAATAACAAAAATCAAATGAATTTTATCTAACAAAAAATAGATATTGTCACATGTAAGTAACATATATACAAACTCACATGATTGAAATTTTTTGGTGGTGAAGCTACCAGTTTCTCTAAATAGCTGTTCAAAATGAGGCTTGCAGTATAGTTGTCCCTCCACAGCAGAATAGTTGCTTATCTGAAAGAACAAAATAAAAACGTTATACCTAAAACAAAATTCTCAAATTCACCAAAAATATTCATTTTTTTTTATCTTGTTTGATCATATATAACAAATTAAATAATAATCATACCGCGAGACGGCCGTTACAATGGGAGCACTTGAAGCATTGCTTGTGGTACGGAACTCCATCCGCAGATACCATCTCAGCAAAATGCACGGTTTTATCGCAAGTCTTGCATTTTTGCGTGGTCCCAGAAAAAGACATGTTTGTTTTATTTTATTTTATTTTATTTTTTCTATTGATGATTGAATTTTCAAAATGTGGTGATTATTGATGATCAAATTTCCACCACATATGAAGCTTTTTTTTCTTCGCTTTTGTTCTTCCCTTTGAATTGTCTTGTGATAGAGGTGGAATAAAACAAAAAATGATCTTTTTTAGATGAGGATAATGCAAATTTATATGTTTATGTGTGTGTTGATTTTGCATGCAAGTTTTAAAAAGGACTGGAGATTATAGGCTTCAGACAACCAGCCAACCATTAGTCAATTCAGCCTAATATTAAGGAAATGGGGTGGAAAAGAGTTATTTTTGTTCAAATTTTGAACCAACCAAGGAAAGAAGGACACATATCCTTGTGAGGGAGAAAATGCACAGGAAAATAGAATAATTAAAAAATAACAATAATAGTTTGAATGGAGGGAAAAAATGGAGCCAAAATGAAATGTTGAGAGCTTAAAATTAGGCAAAATTAAATTTTGTGCCTTGTAATTTTGTGCATGTGTCATAGAAGAACGCCAAATCAACATAACTACGTGGACAACTTTTTTTCTTTTCATTTTTTTTTTCGTTTGGCAAAGCAGTACATTAACTTATTAAAACTTGAAATTCGTTTCCAATTTACCTACATGTTACCGAATTTCACATGTAGGTGCTGACTCACCCTGGTTTATCCTATGTGGATGTGCATGTGTCACAAAAAACTGAATTTTGACCAGGATTTCTAGATCTAAAAACTTTGACCGGAACAATTAGTGGCCATAACCATCATATATTAATGGATTTGCTAGACAAAAAAGTGTCCCAAAAACCTAAAAGATGAAAAAGGAAACTAAAAAAAATAAATAAATAAAAAAAAAATTAAACAAAACAAAACTTGACACATATCAATTTTCACAAGTAGAAAAAAGTAGACATTGCACCCAGTTTAAACTAGAAAACATGGGATGGGCTCATGTTTTTTTCAGTCCACGCCCATAGACTACCCCACACACAACCCTATATATAAACCCCCTTCTTTACCCTCCCAAAAAAACCGCTTTCAGTTGTAATAAACCCACTTAATTTCTCCAACAAACACGCTTTTAGTGTTATTATAATTATATTAATTTCATTAATCTCTTGTCTCAAGTCTCAAGCTTATATGGACGTCTACATTTCGGAAGAGTACGTCATCAAGAGAAGGATGGAGAAAAAGAAAGCTGCGAAAAAATCGAATATTGGGTTAGGCAACCGAGGCTCGAATGGGGACGACAAGGCTCGTTATTCGGACGACAAATTTCCACGTCAGCAACGGGAAATGATGATGACGTCTGATCGAGATGTAGTTTTTAGCTACTTATCTGCTTAATTATTAAAATTAATTTTAATTAGCATTATTAGTAGTAGTATTGTTAGTGCCTAGTGGTGGGTAGGGAGAGTAATTATATATAATGTGGACTAACTAGCCGTGAGCTTGTGCTTTTAGTGATGTGTTTATATTTTTGATACTTTTATGAAATTGAGGAATTTCAATCCAAAATTAGTTTGTTATTTTGGTCCGAGTTTGACATTGTTGACTCGTTTGATCAAACAGTCAAACTTGTTCTTTTTTTTAGGCTACATAATGATTAGAAAATAGAAAGAAATACTCTTTTAGTAAATATATAATTTTTTATTTTTATTTTTGGAAGAAAGTGTAGTCGTCGAACTGACCGATAGTTTAAACAGCAGCATTTGTGCAAACCGTTTTAGAATTTAAGCTCATGGTCATGGACCAAAATTTGTCTTATTGGGTTGGATTTTGTGTCTCACTAGACTAGACTATTTTCATTTTTAATGGGCCGGACACGAGCACAAACTAAATCCAGTCTTAGCCCAGTTTATCGGACTGATGTAGTAAGACAATGTAGCCTAATTTGAATGTCAATCACTTATTTGATTCCTTAAATTTATTTTTTTCTTTTTTTAATTAATGCATCACATTCCTTTTTTAAAAAAAAAAAAAAATAGTGTATCCAATCATTGGGACAAAAAAGGGCAAAAGCGTGATTTCTTGTAAGTTTGAGCAATGGGTCTCATTTTTTCACGTGAGCTCAATGTTCTCCCACGAGCATGCACATTGTCTCGTGATTCAAACCCTTCACGTGTTCGGACTTTAATGTTGATTTTAGATGTTTGTAATTTGATAGTTTGATGTTAAATAGCAGCCTTTAAGAACGTACTTTCTTGTATTATTATTACCATAATTATTATTACGGTTCTTGTTATTAATCTTTTATAAAATTCATTTGTTTTTATTTTTTATTTTTTCATGTAAAAATGTTGCATCATTATATATATGACAACTGAAATTGGAGATATTTACTTAGAATAAGCTTATTTGATCAGTACTTTAGCACATAATTTTGTTCTAACAACACAATTTTCACTTTTCATTCCCTCCTGTTTTTTATTTTTACTTTTATTTTTTGTTGTATAGAAGTAAATGATGTATAAGCTTTTGGAGATATCCATTTTGTATAAGTTCATTTAAGAAGATAGAACATTTTCAAAAGTGTTCTCAAACAAGCTCTAATTAAATATGGCATATAAGTAGAAATTAATTAGCGTAACTACAAATTACCTATTTGATAAGTAAACTAATCCCAGTAATTCCTTCGTCGGGTAGGCGAAAAAATAAGATAATGTTGGTGGGATTAATGAAACTATATGCACGTAATTATTATTGTCTTTTCACAGGGAGATTCCTATTTGATTGTGGCGTAATTATTGTGGCAACAAAGCTTTCAGTCTGATCTTTAATTGATGAATTAAATGTTAGCTTAAGATTTCAAATTTATGTAAAATGTGGCCAACATTGACAATGAAATTCTGGGAAATTCAAATTAATGTCATATGAATTATGGTTAAACCAAACGGCCTACTCGTAAGTATGAGCTCGTTTAGTTGGACTCATTAAGGTTTGAAAATATGAATATTTATATAATTTTTATAATTCGGTTCCTTAAGGTTGAGTTCTGCTCGAGTTCGACTTGATAAAGAGTTGAGCTCCAACTCGTTGATCGACTTAGTTAACGAACGGCTCGATTCATTAAAAGCTCGAGTTCGGGCTCGTCTACACCTCTACTCATCTTCAATTGGTTTTATATTAGACCGATATACTTTTCTTACAAACATATACTTTTATTTGAAAATAACGTACTTAAAAACTATAACATAAACAAAATTATATTTTTTATAATATGACGGTCGATCCGCGTAACTGTTACACAACTCACATAAAAAAATGTGCATGTCCAAAATTTGAAATGAGACAATATTGGGCTAAAATTGTTGTTACTGGAATTAGGAGAAAAGCCAAATTGATCTTCACGGGCGTAGCATTATCTCCAAATAACTATTTTGCACATATTTGAGAGATTAGGTAAAAAGAGATTCTCACTTTTATAAGCTTGATGGATGAGAGATTTCAACATTTTCAATGACTATTGGTGAATGAGTTCATCCTATAATTAAAACTTTTTTTTTTAATTCAAGTTCTAATCTAATTAATCAGGATTAATTGTCTTGTTTTTAATTTATTTTTCTTTCTTGCTCATTTTCTCTACTTTTTTTTTTTAAAAAAAAAAACTTGTCCTCGTATGAGATTAAAGTGGGGGAGTGAATGACTCATCCCGACTAAAATCGAAGGTTATTTGATTTGGAGATTGAAATTGTCTAGTAGTGATATTATATAGCCTAGTTAGAATCGAGTTGAAGTTGTACTTGCATAAAAATTGAGCAAGATCTACTTGTCTCGTTTAATAAACGAGTCCGATTAGTTCTTCAAACTCGACTCGTTTAAATATACAAACGAGTAAAACCGATTTTTTCATCAACCGAAACCAATTGTGTCCATGAGCAACTTAGTCCGAATGACAATTCTAATGCTATTATTTAAGGAATAAGGATAAAAATGAAAATGCAGCCCCTTGATCACGATTCACGAACATATATGAGTGTTTCACGAGTTGATTAATAAACTAGTTCAATTAATTATTCGAGTTCGGTATAATTTTAAGCACATAGGAATTAATCGAGTCCGAACATTCACGAGTAAACATGCCAAGCCACTCTTGGCTGTGTTTTGGTCCAAGCCATGTGTGTTTTTGGTTGATTTGATTCAATCATACATAAGAGGTGAAGATGACATTTGAATTTGAGACAAAATTTGGTCCCTATAAAATATGGCCCCCTTTTCTATATAA